TGTACATACACATAAGTCAAGTCTATCTTCATATGGTTTCATTTCTACTAAAAACAACCTAATAAACAAGCAAACAAACAGACAAACAAACAAAGAAACAAACAATAGATGCTCATTTGTTCAATCATTATAAGTCAATAGCAAAAATTATAAGGTATACACTATATATAATAATGGGATGGCCTTGTTTGGAGAGCACCTTGAAGTCCATCAAGTTCTAACTCCCCTGACATGGACAGGAACACCTTTCCTAGACCAGGTCACCTATCCCAGGTTGCTTCAAGCTCCATCCAACCTGGTCTTGAGCACTCCCAGGGATGGAGCAGCCACAGCTTCTCTGGGCAACCTTTACCAGTGCCTCCTAATACCAAATCTGAGCCCTCTCTCAGACTGAATCCACTTCCCCTTGTCCTGTCACTCCATGCTCTTGTAAGGAGTCCATGTCTGTCTTTCTCGTAGGCTCCATTCCCATATACAAAATATCTCAGTGTAAGGTTAAAAATCCAACACAATGTTACAGGTACATCAAGCTGATGATGCTAAAATATGTCCAAACATCAGTGGTGATCATCACAAGGTGAGGAAAAGTTCTGAGGATCTCCAGATTCTGGCCCCCACTCTAAAGATGAAGGTAACCTGAGGTTTAACAAAACCCAAATTACCAACTCTTTACAGTTTGTATGGATGGAGAGCGGGGAATCTGAAGATGAGCTGATGATGGATGGCACCACAGGCTGGAACCCGTTTTCCAGACAGATTTCACTTGCTTTCTCCAGCCATCCCTCTTTTGTCCACCTGCCACCATGCCCTGCTGTAACCACAAACATTTTCACACAGTGGAGGGAACTGGTTATATAGCACATTTTGAAAATTAATTGAAATTTTTAAAATTAATCTCTCTATTGACAGCTCTATTTGCAATGTCTCGCCTGTGCATATCTATAGTCAAGAAATTATTTTCTCTGAGTTAATAAAGCAGCATTGCTCACAAAATCTCAGAAGCTGTTTTCAGCTCTCCACCCCTTTCTGGTATGCTGAATTTAGTGTGACTACTTATATCCATCCATCTCATCTGCAAGATAAACATGCAGATAAACACAGCATAAACACAAACACCCAGAAAAATGACAGAACATACAAATAAATATGCTCCTAAACATCCCCTGTTCATTTTTCATTCTGCCCAGAGAAAAAAGAAATTAATCTGAAGCTAACACAAAAATATACCTCAGCATTTTCGTAGTTTATTACAAACAAAGAGGGAGCTGTGCTCAAAGCTCTCTAGTTTTGTCAACTCATGGTCTGCCTGAAACACTTTTATTGTCACTACCAGGACTGGCATCAGGTTCAGTATTGACTGATTGTAGAACAAAACTGAGTCTAAGGCAAGGATCTGTTGTAAACTGTTGCCGAAATCACACTTTTTCTTCAACTCTTTAAGTCCAACCTGTGGACTAATTTCCACGAGATATCCAGGAAAATAAAAGCATTCATTAATGTAACAGGACTGGCCCTGCTCACAGGTATTTGAAGGTAGGAAAGTTAAAAAAAAAACACCTCTGCAACATGCAATGTATTTTCTTGTAAGTAACTTTTCAGTTCCATATGAGAGGAAGGTGGACTGTTCTGCAAAGCAGATTTCTCGTGAGGAGCTCACAGTCCCCAGGCAGGACAGGCAGGCAGCACATGGAACATGACTTTCTGGGTCAGGGGATTAATCATAAGAAGTTTGGCATTTCCTAAGTGGTGTGTAGGCTAGACAGCATCATGTGATCCTGGCTGGAGATAAACTTTTAGTGTATCAGGGATTTAGTGAAAGTGGATTTAGTGGAAGGAAAATGTTTCACTGTAATGGTAAGCTATAAGCAGAGAGTTCAGTAAAGTCCCAGAAAGGAAATAAGAACTGGAACGTTTGTGTCAGCAAACAGCATATAGGCATTCACTTATGTTCTGTAGGCCTGTTAAATACTTAAGCCAAAGCAGTGCTTTAGTTACAGACACTAATTCCCAGTAAAACCTGTGTGGAACAGGAAGCACAAAAGCACTACAAGGGCAATTTCTTTTTGGGCTGCAACTTCAAGCCTGTTATCCCCACCAATGCTATAAACACTCACAGCCATGGGTACCATGGTGGCAATTTGCAGTGGCAAGATTAAAAGACCCATGGGCTAAGTGGGAGGTGCCCCATGGCACCAGGAGAGCTCCTGGGATGCATTTCCTGGGGTGAAATTGGATGCCAGTTGTTGAGTTTAATGTGTAGGGGTAACTGAGCCTAATACAAAGCCTTTCATAAAATAGGAATTGGTAGGGTTTTCCCCTTAAATTATGTTGCAAAGAAAAACTCCCTCTTCAAATCCCATATACTACAGGATTAATAATCATTATTACTTTGTGCTTTTATAAGTGATCTGATGCACTATTAATGCATTCTCTCCCAAATACCTTGTGACTCCAGTATGCCATGTACAGTAGATGTTAAACAAACATAATGATGCTGCTCAATTTAACAAGAATCTATTTCCTTTTCATAAAAATTGAAGTGAACATTTAATTTCATTCAGCTTTATCGAATTCACAGGTACAATGCAATACCAGTGAAATCAGAGCTGTAATTTAGCTCCTGGTTAATGCTAATAATTTTTCTGCAGTTGAATATTTCTGCACTGAATTGCAGATCCATCTCAAATGTTATGTGCCTAAAAATATTAGTTACAGTTATTTCAGAGCATTCTGTTTATTCAAATCAGACTGAAACAAACACAAACTGTAGCATGAAAGGCTGGAAAATATTTGCTGAGATAAATATTCATTGTCAGCTGCTATGCAGGATATATAGAGACAATTCAGATTACATGATAGCTTTTTGTTTTATACGCCATCTTGCCAGTTAGCATTCAACAATGTAACTTTAAAAATGCCTTTAATTTTATGTGTGCTATACAAGTGATATACTTAGCTGTCCATGTTTCTTGCACATGAATCTTTAATCCACAAGGAACTTAATAGGAATTAAAAGTGGAAATATAAGCATAAATCTTTGTATTTCTGGTAATACAATTTTGTCGTTAACTGAAGCTTACTGGAAAAGTTCTTTGTGATATTTAACTGGATTACATTTTAAAGACCTTTATCATCATCAACTGGAAAATCTATGGCAACAAGAGATGAGTCCCATTAGTCTACCCGCTGCTCTACTGCCAACTCTGTGATGTTTAGACAGTGTCTCTGTCTTGGGGACCAGAGGCAGAGACAAAATTTCCTGCAGAAACCTCAGTTCTCATTGTTCTGACCAGAGAGGGCAAATTAAAAAACCCACTATGTATCAATCCTGCACCTAAAAGCATTTGTTTTCACACAAAGGTGACAACCCATTTCCAGTGTGTAAGGGTGTTATGGGTCAGCTTCAGCTGGAATCATGCTGACCTCGAGGGAATTAACTGAGGCCACATGGACAAGATGCAGAAAGTAATCAGGTTTTACTCTCTGCTGTTAATGGATGATTTTTAGAGTAATTGGACCAAAAGATTTTCAAAGACTGGCTTTAAAAAGTGCCATTTGGGGATAGTAATTATTGTACATAAACAGTCTGGAATGTACTGGGCTCTTACTATTATCTAGTATTTGTCAACTATCTCACATTTTTGAGTATTCAAAACTAGAGGCAATAATTGATGTACAACAGAAGGGCTGAAATTCTGCATCTGAACTGTGCAGGTGCCCCACACATGACTCACAGACAGTTTATTGGCTGATTTTCACAAGAGCTAATGATTTAGGTTCATTTCCATAAGGCTTAGGATGCTCACATGCATAGTCTAGATCAGAAATACTGAGCTTAAATTAAATCACAGGAGAAAAAAAACCCTGAACAACAACTTCAAGAGACTTTAAAAGTTAAGAGAGGTTCCAGCACAGAAAGTGCTTCCTTCCCTTATAAATCTGCATCATCTACACCAACATGCCCTTCACAGCTGTAATTTTTGAAAGAGTGGATTAGTGTTGAAGTCTCTCCCCTGCTCCACAGCTCAGGCAGGGCAGGTCTCACAGATGCCCAGCTCCCATCAGAAGTCACAGTGGTAGGAATTTCTGATGTCTCACTCCTCATATAAAGAGAGGCCCACCAGGTAAGTGTAGTTTTGAGATGTTTCAGACACCAAAAGTCATAAAAGTGAGCTGCTGCCCCCACTGAGCCATGCCCATGAAATGCTGTGTGGTTTTGCTGTAGAAGTGCTGAGCATCTGCAGATCTCATTGATGCTGCAGAACAGGAGAGAAAAACCAATTTCCAAACTTTAGATACAGTCCTTAATCATTCATTTAAAAAGCATTTCCATAGCCATCTACTTGACAGTATCTAAATGAAAAGACTCTGAAAATCTCTTGTTTTCCAACAGGAAATGTGTTCAGGGATTGGCATTTCACATGTATAGAGAAATTTACAATAATCATGTCCTGATGACAAGTCTAAGAAAGGATTTACATCTAATAGGAATGATCTAATTTATCTTTCATACAGTAATACCCAGTGGCTATTGTGAACATTTTATTATGAAGGAAATTAAAGAAAACACCAGAAAATTAATGTTTTAGAGGAAAGTTGTATGGTCCATTTAACTCTTCTTTTGACTGTCCATACAATGTAATGAGTTAATTTGCTTCTTTTCATACGTTTGAGTAATAGGAACAACACTTTTCATAAATCATCTACAAAAGCTTTAAGAAGAAAAGCAAGCTAGCCAGTATAAAGCTTTTGAATAACTAATATATAAATGCTGGGTACTTCTTCTGGGTACTTCTTCAAGGGTGCTTTTACAATTTCTCTCTTGAAGAAAAAGACCTTACACTGAAAAACCTTCTTCCTCTTCTCCTTTCCAACTTTATTTAGTTTAGACCAAACACCTCACTACACAGCAGTAATATCCCCTGTTTGTATGGGACTCTGGAAATTTTGTCACAAACAAGTCACACAGTCAGTGGGTGTGGAGACAGTGGCACACTATGACAGCAGTGCAAGAGCTCTTAGCAGGAAGGGGCCTTAACACTTCATGACTGAAGACTTGCAGGGAATCACTCAAAAGTTTTGAAGGTGAGCAGAGCCATTTCTCTTGTCTCACCTCCCTTTCTTCCAAGTACTCTTTATGACGGAGTCTCGTAAGTGAAAATTGTTCCACCCAAAGGTTTTTGTGGTAACAGTGAAGGGATAGAGCCTCAAAAGAAAAGGTCTCCAGGCCCTAGACCTGACATCCCAATCCGTTCTCCTGCTGTAGTCTCTCCTGATGAGGATGCTCAGGGTAGGATTTCAAACAATGCCTAACCCTGCAGTGTTTACTTAATCAAACAAATCTCAGGGCTCAGTATGGCCTAGGTCTTTCAGCCCAGCCACTTTTGCCTATGTCATGCCAGTTGTTGAAAGGAGAAGCACAAATCACAAAGGAATAAAAACAACACAATGTTAGATGGAGCATTTAAACAGCTAAAGATGTAGATCGGCACCTAATGAGATTTTAATGGGAATGTGCTCATTCTGCTTCCTTGGAGATTTCTGAAATGCCTCTAGACTTTTGGTAGATTTTAAAAACTGTCTCCCCATTCTTTCCTGTGTATCCCACTGCTTTGCTTTTCATTTTCTGAGAGGAGGAGGGCAAGAAAGCCAAGCTTATAAATTCCTTTCCTTGCATTCATACTGAATAAGGTGAAGAAAAATTCCCTCTGTACATATTTGAAAGACACCATCAGTTATGTGGATAGCAGAATTCCCCCTTATATTACTTTGCATTCACGCATCAGATGCCTGAGGCCAGAAGGACATGCTGAATATGAGAGTATCTGTCTAGCCACAAAGTAAATATGGTGCACAGGAGGATTAAGACAAGGCAAACGAGTCTGCTGTTTCAGACTGCAAAACTTTTCAGGCTCTCCTCCAATGCCAAAAAAAGTTAAGAAGTTCACAGAGACTATTGGAATGATCTGCATACCAGGGGAAACTGAGTCACTGAACAAGTCCCATTCTCTGAGGCCCCCATGCAGGATCATGGGTGAAAACAAGACATCCTCAGTCCTCCAGCCCTTGAGCCTGGTTACATCCTAACCTGACATCCAAAACATGCCAGGTGTGATTGTGCATTATGCACACACACACATGTACGAAAACAGATAATTCAAAAAGTGTTTATTTAGTTCAGATCCTGTGATTTAATCTTACAGCCTTGAAACCTGGAGAGCCCTTTCCATAAGTGAGTCACACAATCAGCTCCAGAGACATCTCAGGCATAAAGTGATATTTTGCTGCTTTGGCAGTTTGTATTGCCTGTGCTAATAAGTATCAGCTGATAAGTTTCAAGACATATTGAATTGTTTTATCTTTCAAATTTTGATAGAAAAGACCTTTAGATTATTTGTCTCCTAAAATGCTCCTGATTAGAGCTCTGCTTTCAAATCCAATACTAAGTTATTAATCATGGGAGAGTGTTCTGCTTTCCACAAGTCAATAACCATGCATCTAGCCATGATTACTTCTATGTGGGGAAAACTTTTGTTTTAAAAAAGGCAGCCTTCAATTCTTAGCCAATAGAGTGCATCATAAGTGTAGCTTGGAATAATGTGGAAATGTACTATTCTCCTGGGAGATCTGAGGATTTTCTCCGTATTTAATTTTTAATTTATGTCACTGATATGCTCTAACTGCTTTATCTGAAAAAGACATGGGGCACATATTAATATCCACCAAGAGGAAATTCTTGAACATGACTACAAACTCTGAAATATTTCCTAACCTATAATCTATATAGGAGCACTAATTAGTTTCACAATGATTATTTGTATGCCCTTAAAACATTGGGAAAGTTTTCTAGTGGATAACACTGCAATTCCAGCAACACCCGAGCACAATCCTAGGCTGAATTTCACCATTTCTACTGCCAGTTTACATCACTGTTTCCATCACCATGTATCAGCTCCCAGAGAGGCAGTCACACATGGAGCCCAGCTATGGTGCTGTTCATGCTACCCAAGGTCAGAGGAAAACCTCAGTCTAATAAGGCTGCAGGGAGGATTGAGTTTGAAAATGAACTCCAAGATTAGGGAGTGCAAACAACAGGAAAGGGATGCAGTGTGATATCAATATCAGATATTCAGTTAGAGAGGTGTAGTGTTATTGCTATTAGTTAAGATGATAGAGCACTATGTGTCTGCTTTTCTAAACATGAGGAGCAGCACCAAAGCCCTTCCTGTGCCCCCTGGAGCAGCCCATGGAGCTGCTCGCTGTCCTCACACCTCCTGAGGCACTCAAAAATGCTCCCTGCTCAGTCAAGGTGTTCTACACACAGCAAAGAAAAGAAACAAGTGAGAGTTCCCACCATTCTCTCTGAAAGCAAAAAAAAATCAGGTAATTATTATTATTAAATGATATAATTATGGGACTTGTGGTTCACAATAAACATAGACCTGTCATTTAATATTTTAATTTTGCGCACTTAGAGGCTCGCTCATGCCTGCAAACATCTTTTCCAAGACACAACTGGTGACATTTCCCACCTTCTCATCTATTTTCCTCCTGTTGCTCATGTTATGACTAAAAGCAGCAGGCTTATATTTTTCTCAGTGGGAAATATGTCACCTGCTGTTGAAAGAAAAGCAATTATTGTGTCCTCGCTAAATCTTAGGCCTATTTGTGTAGAGCTTTAGAGCTTAAAAATATAAACATCCTGCTCTGTGCCAGTGTAAGTAGTTAGACACTCAGAATCCCAGCTGGGATCCCCCTGGATGTCACCTTCAGTGCCTGTTAAGCACAGGGAAAGATGCCAAACTCTAGTGCCTTTCCCATAACTGTGTCTGATCACTGGAAATTAAAAGTGAACAACGTGCTCCCAGCTCCAGCACAGGACACCTCAAAACATTATGTTCTCCCTCTCTCCCCTTACTTCAGGAGTCAGTTTTTCAGCTTTATTGAAACAAGATTTATGTCTGCTCTGCATTTGAACAGTTGTTTTCACTCCTTTTGTGTGTTTTTATGTGGCTGTAAACCTGTCTGACAAAGGGACAGGTATTTTATTTGCACACTGTCAGATGCTATTTCTCTGTGCAATCTCCTGTTATCACACAGAAAAAGTCTCAGAATCAAAATGGGAAATAAAACTACTGGACATTTACATTTGCAGCTGACCAAAAGCAATGAAGGAACCAAACTTACAAATGGCATATATATATACACATATGTATATATGCACATCTGCACATCCACACAAAAGGATGTAGAGGTGCATGCTAAGAGACAGTAGTTCTTAACATAAAAAGTTTGTTTCTCATAAGACTGTTGCTATTTAGAAATTATTTTTTCACACAGATGTGAAGAATATATATATATATAAACACCTGAAAGGAAAAGGGCAGAGTTATGACTAAATTTAAGAAAAAAAATTAATCTTCCACTAATACTAAAAGTAAGTTTCTAACAGTACTGAGCAGTATCTTAAGATTTAGGGAAGAGGATCTCAAATCGGTTGTAGGGAAAGGATCAGCAACTTCAGTCCCGGGCATTATTTCAGATAATAAAAGAAAAAGGTTCTCAATTTTTACTACTATATGATCCCTGCCAATAATAATAACAAGAGTCAAGAAGAATTATTTTCCCTGACAAAAATTAAACAGTTACTTAACATTTAAAATAGGAATCATCTACAAAGACTTTTAGGAGGCACTGTCTATGCAACTGGGGATTTTAGAAGAAAACATGCCTTAATACAACTTTTTGTTTCTAACAAAGTTTGCAAGTGAAAGCAGAAAAGCCAGTTTTTCATAAGAAGCAATACATGTAGTGCTGCATATAAAAATACTAGAAGAGAATTCTCAATTTATAGGCATTTTCTAAGTATCTGCTTTATGCTGGCCATGTTGGATAGATCACAAGTCTCTTTACTCAGGTAATAATTTTACTTTTGCCTTCTTCTATATCTTAACAAAAACACACAAATTTTCAATGTATGAACATTAGGAAAACATAACCCTGTGCAAGCTTGCACTGAAGAGAGAGATTGAGATTATGGTATTCCCAAAATAAGTGAGGCACCTTCCCCACTCAGACACAGTGTGCAGGCTGCTCCTTCAGCAGCAGCTCAGAACCACTCACCTCTCAACCCTGCTGCTGCAATGCCTTTAGTGGTGAAGATAAAAACAGACTACTTGCTGATAGTGTTTGGCAGGATTCAGAAAGGACCTGGATCCTTCTGGTGACAGGTGATGTGTATTCCCCACTACACAACATCCATAGCAGGCTGCAGTCCAGCATTTAAATCTATATGTACAACATAAAAACGTGCAAGGAAAACTGTGTGAAGAAAACTAGATTTGTGCCCCTTGTTAAAATAAAAAATTCCCAAATTCTATTTGCAGTGTTTTGTATCATGGATAGCCTTTCCTCACTTTTGTTTTTCCACAAGTGTATATGGTGTTGCATGAACATTCAGTGTATATTTTCCCAAATACACCAGTTCTTGCTGGCTGAGAATTTATCTGAGGTGAAAAAGGAACATTGCATAACAGACTAAATGTTTTTCTTCATGTGATCTGCTAGAAACAAGGGGTTTTAGTTTTTAAAGAGATTGAAACACTCTGCAGAGGTAACTGTTCAAAATTGCAGCCTATGAGCTAAATTGATATTTAACAGCTTGACCTCTAAAATCTTTCCTAAGCTGTGATACAGCATATGGTTTTTTTCTGAAATGTACAAAAAGATTCAGGGATAATGTACACACAAGGCTCCCTCCATTCCAAATCATTTTGTGTGTGAGTTGCCAAAATCTATAGCATATGGATGTATTTTTATGTCATTTCATTTCATTTCATTTCATTTCATTTCATTTCATTTCATTTCATTTCATTCCAATCTTCTGTTTCTCTTTTGCTAAAACTCTCTAGAAAAGCTGGCTTTTAATTCCAGAGTCAGCATTACAGCCACTTTGATCAGTGAATCACAGACATTTCAGACTGGCCTGTGAAAGTTCAGGAGGTTCACTATGGCTCTTGAAATGGCACTTTGTATCCTCAGCTTCTAACTTTTTATGCCTTCTAATGTTGAGTCACAAGAAGTATCACACTCATATCTACAACAGATTTGTACTGAGACTACAGAAGAGAAATACTGTATTTCCCTTCTTTTGTCAGCTGTGAATGGAAGTGGTGGCAGACCTCTAATCCTTTCTCTATGGGCAGATGGCCGTTTGATGTATGTACTCATCTACAAACAAAATTCAGAAATTCATTTGGCTTTATCTTCATTCATTATGTATTATTGGTCTCCCTTCATTTAACATCAAAAGTGCAAGGAAGAGGACTGCCACTCTTTATGTTAATTGTTCGGTTGATTAGTCATGAATAATAACACTTAGAATCTATACAGTTCTTTACATCTCTAAATTACTTTCTAAATCTTGGTCCATCAAAAAATCTGAGACTTTTTAC